TATAACAAGTTCCTGGTAGAGAATAGATACTTAATAAGCACTTATTGATTAAAAAAAAATCAAATACCTTCTTCCATTTCTAATGCTGTCTTTTTGGTCTCTGCAATTTTCCTGGCAAAATGAATTAACTTTAGGGTGGCAAAATGCTTAGGGCACAATCAAAATATATTAAACAGGCTTTTTTTTTTTGTGTGTGTGTGTGTGTGTGTGTGTGTGTTTTACTTCATATAATAATTTGAGAAAGAAAGAATGAAAAGCTTCTCTAGTTTCCTGATTTGGGTTTTGAAATTTTGTTGCTATTAATATATTACTATGTATTGCTATTTAGCTGATACAAAAACAACTGGACTATAAAGATAGATACAAATTCTTATTAGCATCAGTGTTTGGTAATGTTAAACATGAAATATTTATTAAACTTCAAATATTATGTAAAGTGTCATCAGTTCAAGGTTTGCTTTTAAATTCTAACAGCTAGTGGGTGTTATACATTGAGTAATTCCTACTTTTAAAATTTATTATTTAAGGATGATTTAGGGAAATCATTATCTTTATTTTGCAGGTTGAAGCATACTACTTCTGTGTTCCTCCAACATGTTTTTCTAGCATGGAGCTCTGGATACTTCTTCTGTGTTAATCATGCACATTTGTGAACCCAAGCAAGTGTAGATTCTGATCATGTTTAGGTATCAATCCTTTCTTGAGGAACAAGGCTACTCTGTGCTCCTTTAAATATCTTTGTGCAATATTAGGAAAATTTACAAGTTTCCAAGTAGTGGTGTCATGTCAAATTTAAATATCATAACAGTAGCAACATAATCTGTTGTTTGGCATTTGAAGTATTGTGATTCCACCTTCTTTTTGGTGCACATTTTCTCTGTGTTTATTGTCTAGAGATAAAACGTCTAACCTTTTATAGGTTCTAACAGTAAAATCCAAGGATGTGTGAAAGAGATAGCAATGATGATCACATCTATTGATTTGTGTTTATGTGTCTTAGGCCTTGCAGAAAACTTCATCTAACATTTGTGTGTGTCAAAGGATAATAGAGATTAATCAACCAGAGACATGTGCAAGTTTTTGCATGGATGTTTTCCTATGATTGTGGGTGGATGTAGTAGGAGTAGACAAATTATTTTTAAGAAAATACTTTATTGTTTATGTTCTAAAATTTACATATTAATTGTTTTTATTGCATACACATATTTGAAGGGAGAAATGGGGGCAATATGGCATAATAGAAGCAGTAAAAGCCTTGGATCCAGATGGCTAAAATTTTTTTAAAATTATTCTTCTTTTTTAGCTGTTGATGGACCTTATTTAATTTATATATATGTAGTATTGAGAGTCAAACCCAGTGCCTCACACATGCTAGGTACATGCTCTACCATTGAGCTACAATCCTAGTCTAAGATGGCTAAAAGTTTTAAATCCCAAATACAATATTTAGTAACTGCATGAATTTAGAAAAACAGTTTTATTTCTTTAGCCCAGTTTTCTTATCTTCAATACAGTCCAGAGTATTTTAAAAGCAGAAATCAGGAATGCCTTGTTTAACTTAAAGGTCTTTTTTATTATGACAGTGGAATGCATTACATTTCTTATTACACATATAGAGCACAATTTTTCATATCTCTGGTTGTATGCAAAGTATATTCACACCAATTTGTGTCTTTGGATAATAATGATCATCACATTTTACTATCATTTCTAACCCCTTGCCCCCTCCCTTCTCTTCCAACCCCTCTGCCCTATCTAGATTTCATCTATTCCTCCCATGCTCCCTCTCCCTATCCCATTCTGAATTAGCCTCCTTATATCAAAGAAAACATTCAGTATTTTGTTATTTGTGATTGGCTTACTTCACTTAGTAGCATCTTCTCTGACTCCATCCATTTACCTGCAAATGCCATGATTTTATTCTCTTTTATTGCTCAATAATATTCCATTGTTATACATGTCACATTTTTTTTATCCATTCATCTATTGAAGGGCATCTAGGTTGGTTCCAGCATCTAGGTTGTGCTGCTGTAAACATTGATGTGGCTGTGTTCCTGTAGTACGTGTTTTTAAGTCTTTTGGGTATAGACTGAGGAGAGGGATAGCTGTCAAATGGTAGTTCTAGTCACAATTTTCCAAGAAATCTCCATACTGCTTTCCATATTGGCTGAACTAATTTGCAGTCCCACCAGCAGTGTATGCGTGTACCTTTTTCCCCACATCCTCAGCAGCACTTATTGTTGTTTTTCTTCATAATATCTGCCATTCTGACTTGAGTGAGATGAAATCTTAGAGTGGTTTTGATTTGCACTCTGGTTTTATTCCAAAGTCCTTGATCCATTTTGTGTTGAGTTTTGTGCATGGTGAGAGATAGGGGTTTAATTTCATTTTGTTACATATAAATTTCCAGTTTTCCCAGCACCATTTGTTGAAGAGGCTTCTCTAATTGCTAGCGATGATGAACATTTTTTCATAGATTTGTTGATTGTATATCATCATCTGAGAAGTGTCTGTTCGAGTCCTTGGCCCATTTATTAATTGGGTTATTTGTTTTTTTGGTTTTAACTTTTTGAGTTCTTTATATACCCTAGAGATTAGTGCTCTGATGGGTGAGGGGTAAAAATTTGCTCCCAAGATGTAGGCTCTCTATTCACCTCACGGATTGTTTCTTTTGCTGAGAAGAAATTTTTTAATTTGGTTCATCCCATTTATTGATTCTTGGTTTTAATTCTTGTGCTATAGGAATCTTATTAAGGAAGTTGGGGCCTAAGCCCACATGATGGAGATTAAGGCCTACTTTTTCTTCTATTAGATGCAGGGTCTCTGGTTTTAATCCGAAGATCTTGATCCATTTTGGGTTGAGTTTTGTGGATGGTGAGATAGGGGTTTAATTTTATTTTGTTGCATCTGGATTTCCAGATTTCTCAGCACCATTTGTTGAAGAGGCTATTTTTTCTCCAATGCATATTTTTGGCACCTTTGTCTAATATAAGATAATTGTAATTTTGTGGGTTAGTCTCTGTGTCCTCTATTCTGTACCATTGGTCTACCAGTCTGTTTTGGTGCCAATACCATGCTGTTTTCTGTTACTATTGCTCTGCAGTATAGTTTAAGGTCTGGTACAGTGATGCCACCTGCTTCACTCTTCCTGTTAAGGATTGCTTTAGCTATTCTGGGTCTCTTATTTTTGCAGATGAATTTCATGATTATCTAAGAGGAATGCCATTGGGACTTTGATCGAAATTGCATTAAATCTGTTTAGTGCTTTTGGTAGTATGTTCATTTTGATAATATTAATTAATATTAATTCTGCCTATATAAGAGCAAAGTAGATCTTTTCATTTTCTAGAGTCTTCTTTGACTTCTTTCTTTAGGGTTCTGTAATTTTCATTATATAGATCTTTCACCTCTTTTGTTAAGTTGATTCCCAAGTTCTTTTTTTTTTTTTAGGCTATTATAAATAGGGTAGTTTTTCTTGTTTCTATTTCTGAGGATTTATCACTTATATACAGAAATGCCTTTGATTTATGGGTGTTGATTTTATATCCTGCTATTTTGCTGAATTCATTTACTAGTTCTAGAGCTTTTCTGGTGGAACTTTTAGGGTTTTCTAGGTATACAATCATATCATCAGCAAATAGTGCCAATTTGAGTTCTTCTTTTCCTATGTGTAGCCCTTTAATTTTTTTCATCTGTCTAATTGTTCTGGCCAGTGTTTCAAGATCTATGTTAAATAGAAGTGGTGGAAGAGGTCATCCCTGTCTTGTTCCAGTGTTTAGAGGGAATGCCTTCCATTTTTCTCCATTTAGAATGATGTTGTCTTTATCTCACCTTGATGTTGGGCTTCCAGATCCTGCCAGCATCCCTCAGTGTATGCTACTGCATCTAAGGTTGGTGGTGGCAATAGCCAAGATAACTTGAGATAATAGTTAAGGTGCCCTGAGATGGAAGCAATGTCTTATGGAGATGGGGATGCAAGAGTGGGCCTCACACTCCCTTTGGGATGACTGCTCTGACATGCAGCTGCTTGTAGGCCCTGGTTATTGTCAAAAAGTTAGGGACTACTGTGTGGCGAAGGCTATAGTGATGATTGTAGAGTCACAAGATGAACATGGTTAGACTTAGGCTCCCAGGTTGTGGGGGAGGCAAACTCGGACCTACCCTGGACTTGAGTCCTACGAAAGTTGATGTGGACAGAGCTGGGCTGGGTCTGACTCCCATAGGAGTCTGCTGATCAGAAAAGGTAGTCCTGTGCCAGAAGCTGTGCTCTGGTGGGTGCCTGGGTGCCTGCTGGTGGAGAAGTGGACCCAGGCCTACTGTGAACCTGGGCCCTGCACAAGCCAGTGTGGGTGGATCTGGGTTGAGGGGCTTGACCTCCTGTGTTAGCCTAATGGTTGGAAGGGGCAGTCCTGTGCCAGAGACTAGGCTCTGGCGGGTGTCTGCCCTGCTGGTGGGGTGGGGGACTAGGCCTACTGTGAACCTGGGTCCCTTGAGGGCTGGTGTGGGCACTCTGGGCGGAGTCTCAGCTCCTGCTGTAGTCTGCTGGTGGGAAGAGGCGGTCCTGTGCCAGAGGCTCGGCTCTGGTGGGTGTCTGCCCCACTGGTGGAGCTGTGGACCAGGGCCTACATTCTAATTTAAAGGTCTTTATATTTGTAAGGCAATTAATGTTTCAGAAATACTTTCAGATGCTCTTTTATCCTCCAAATGTTATTTTAATCATCTTCTGTTTATGACTTTTCGTTATGAAAGGATTCTGTTTTTGGATTATGGGAATGGATCAATACACGACATCCAACATCAGATAGGTGGGAATGACAGCAATTTATAACTTATATTCACAGTCTAAAGAAGCAGTACATGCCAGGCAGTACACAAGTATCGCATTTGGGAATAGAGTGAGCAACCAAGGGGCTCTGGGAGCAAGGTTTGATAGTATCAACAGGTGGAGTATCCTCTAGTCTCTGTGTGAGAATGTGATTGACTTATTTGAATAATTTCAGGGGCTGGCAAGGAATTGACATCTGCTACCAAGGAAAGAGCTGGAAGTGTGCCTAGTCCCTGTGATATAAAGGTTAGTTGGCTGGGGAGCTGGGGAGGCCAACTTGCAACTGGGCCAAATGAGACTTTGGTTTTCCCCAGGTGTCAACATACCATATATTACTGAGCTTCAGTTCATATGCCTAGCTCCATGTGCTCATCATACTAAGATTGTGAAGTAGGTAATCTAGCAGAAAATTTGGAAGATAAAATTATACAATGTTGTCATACTTAAAAGTGAATTGGAAAATGACAGAAAAGATCATCTATATGCAAAGTATCGTGTATGGCCACATGCAAGCTTAGATATCTATGTACATCTAAGTGATTTGATATTTAAGGATTTTTCTCTTCAGTGTACCTGGTATAACAAGAAAATGTTTATCCTTGTGATGACATGGAATTAAGCATCTTGATGAAGTGAAGTCTTTGTAAAGTGAGGGTGGTGTTTGAAAAAAAATAAATTAACAACCTCTGCAAATCCCTGTCTTCTCAACACAAACATACTCTGGCAAATAAACGTCTTATCACTTTCCTCTGTTCCCAAGATCAAAACCTTAGCATGTTCTATAAGATGGCAGAGGTGAGACCTAGCCCTCAGTTTCTTCACTAGTGACCTTCCTTCAGCCTCTTCTACTGCCCTCGTTCCGAACATGGAACTTTGTCTACATTTTACAAGATGCCTCAAATGCTGTCTCTCCTACCGTACTTCTGCTTCCAGCAGTTCTCCTAATTAATCTCATTTAATTAAGTTCTGCTCAAGTGATGTTTTTATGTGAGAATATTTTCCTGATATCTAGAATAGACTAGGTCTCCTTATTCTAATGCAATCTGTAACTTTCTTCATAAGATTTATCACAACATTACACTCATTTATTTGTGTAATAGTTTAATTAATTACCATTTTCTTTCCTTGAAGGAAAGAAAATGTCTTTTCTTTCCTTTTTGTTATATACTATTACCTCATTCCTTAGAGTCATTAAGTAGAAGGACAGGGACTTAGCATATATTTGTTAATTGAAATAATGAATTGATCATGTTCACAGCATAGTTCAAAAGTAACAGAATGAGAATTTTAATCAGAACAAAGTATGGTCACATTCAAAAATATCTTGGGTTGACCCAGACGCCCTTCAATGGATGAATGGATTAAAAAAATGTGGCATTTATACACTATGGAGTATTACGCAGCACTAAAAAATGACAAAATCATGGAATTTGCAGGGAAATGAATGGCACTAGAGCAGATTATGCTTAGTGAAGCTAGCCAATCCCTAAAAAACAAATACCAAATGTCTTCTTTGATATAATGAGAGCAACTAAGAATAGAGCAGGGAGGAAGAGCAGGAAGAAAAGATTGATATTAAACAGAGGCACGAGATGGGAGGGAAAGAGAGAGAAAAGGGGAATTGCATGGAAATGGAAAGAGACCCTCATTGTTATAAAAAACTACATAAAAGAGGTTGTGAGGGGAATTGGAAGAAAAATAAGGAGAGAAATGAATTACAGTAGATGGGATAGAAAGAGAAGATGGGGGGAGGGGGATAGTAGAGGATAGGAAAGGTAGCAGAATACATCAGTCACTAGTATGGCATTATGTAAAAATGTGAATGTGTAACCCATGTGATTCTGCAATCTGTATTTGGGGTAAAAATGGAAGTTCATAACTCACTTGAAACTAATGTTCGAAATATGATATGTCAAGAGCTTTGTAAGGTTTTGAACAACCAATAAAAAAAAAAGGAAAAAAAATATCCTGGGTTGAGATATACAGTTTCGTTATGTACAAACTGGGAATTAAAATATACTTGAAATACATGCGGTAAGAAATATAAAATATTTAAGATAGTTCCTATCACATTGTAAAAGGACAAAAAGCAAACTTATCTTTATTTCACTATTATGAAATATAAAAAGTCCTTATCAAACTGCTATATAGCAAATAATAAATAAGATAATGCTATTGAGGCTGTTATTATTAATATAAATGGTAAGTATAAACAATAGTTATGTATTTTTCAGATATGCTTCAAATAATTTTTCCTAATTGTTTTCAATAAACACATGGAATTCTTTTCTTTCTGAGAAGATTAAGAAGGAACATATGAAGGATGAAAATATCATGTGATGATCAGTACAGCCTGGGGGTAGGATAAGATCTCCTGGGGTGGCAAGCCCAGGGGAAATCTATACCATACATTTATTCATGAGTGTCACCACTACAATTTAAGTCCATAAGGATATGTGAAAGGGTGCATTATTGATCCTTGAAAACAAATCATAATGTTCATAACCAAAGAGAATGTATGGGCAAATCAATACATCAGCAGCTGAGTTGAGTTATAAGGTCATGGGTTGTTTCTAATCACATTAACTGTCAGTTCAGAAAAAGAAAAATATCTAACAATTTGTAGAAATTGTCAGGAGATGTAGTGACATTGGTCATTATTGAGTGATTCCTTGAAGTCTATACTTTGAACCTTCTGTGAATGTGTGACCATGTGCATAAGAACACGGAGAGTAATGATTTTGAAATGATGATGAATTTCAACGACTGAACATGGGTTTCCACACAGTAGTCAAGAGTTATTAAGTCTCCTGCATTTTGTGATTGCATTTCTTCTATTGAGGGGTTAATTCCTACAGGCATCCCAACTTAGGGCACTGAGGGACCTGGGCAGGAAACAAGGGGGTCCCAGCCCTGTTTGATGGTAAGGGGCCATAGAGGCAGCAATGGCTGGAACTAGAATTGAGGCAGAGGCCCCGAAGTGAAACTCAAGGCATGTTCAGTTGTCATCCTATAATATTTTATAGTAAAGAATATATAGTTTCCTTCCTCTGTGGCCTGCTTCCAGTTTACCATGAGGTAATTTCTCAAAATGCTGACCCCAAGACAGAAATGCAGACTTTGTAAGACAGACTGAGATATTGGTCTGCTTCTGGAATTTATGAGCGAAGCTCTTGGATGCTGTGAAAAAAGATGTTATGTATTTCTTGGAAGGAGATAAATATTAAATGGCTGAAAACAACCTCTCATGTATGTAACCAATAAAGATAGAGTTGCCAGGGAGGATAGAATTTGTCATAGGTGTTTGAGAAAACTTTACAGCAGAGAAAAGAACCCAAAGAAACCAAAACATAAATAAGTAGAACATTTCCTTGTTTTTATTCACCAAAATTCTTTTGATTTCTGAACCTGGAAATGCATCAAAGATTAGTTTAATTAAGAAAGGGAAATATACTGTGCCATGTGTCTGGGAAGCCTAGGGTGTGGGGTTGACCTAATCACACTTTAGTCTAAGGGTTCTGTCAGTGTCATTGGCATTATTCTTTTCTCCATCTATTATCTCATATTCAATACCGTTTGTATGTTGGCCGCCTGATCTGCTTTCTATATGGTCTTTATGCAGCCAGAAAAATTGTGACCATCAACTCTAGTCTCACTTTGGCCTTGATGCTTATTTCAGTGAGCTTTTTTTTTTTTTTTTTTTGCTGTGGCCTAAAGACCTGACAAGAACAATTAGAGGAGAAAAAGTCTATTTGGGGCTCACCCCATACACAGCTGGCTCTATTTCTCAAGACTTGAGGTGAGGCAGAGCATCATAATGGAAAAAAATGTGATGGAGGAAAGGGGCTCAGGACATGATGATCAAGAAGCACAGAGAGAATTCCTCCCCCAAAGGACAAAATATATACCCCAAAAGCATGCCCCCAGTGACCCACCTCCTCCAGCCATATCCTACCTGCTTACAGTTACCACTCAATTAATCCCTCTCAGGGGTCTAATTCACTGATTCGGTTAATGTTCTCATAACTCAATCATTTCACTTCTAAATTTTCTTGCATCATCTAACCCATGATCTTTTTTTGGGGGGTGGGGGCACACTTCATATCTAAACTATAACAATGCTTTTGTTTCACATAACATTCACTTTATTTCCTAATAAAACAAAAATATTTACTCCCAAATTATCTTTGGAGAACAAAAGAGTCCCAGCATAATCTAGAATCAACCAGCAAAAGTGAAGTTCTTTCATTCATTATCCACGAAGGAGCCCAAGAACTCTACTTCAGTGTATGTCTGATTTACCATTCTGCAGGAAGCATAGTGATCCACAGGCATGGTCACATGAAAACTGCACTTTCAGTTTCACGAAAATCACATGTTTTTCATGAAAATCATGTGACAAGAAAAACGCTGAAATAAAACAACCCAGGTTCACCACAAGTGCTGTACTACAAGAATTTTGGGGTGACCAGAGGAGAAAATATATGCCTAATGAATATATTTTTGTTTGTGTGATAGGAAGGAGGAGAGCAAGTTCACCTGTATAAGAAAGAACTAACTGTATTGGTTTATTCAAGGAATTTCCTGGAATATCAGAGAATATTATAAAATGCTAAAAGATAAAAATATGAGGAGCATCTACTGTAATGCCATCATTTTACAGGGAAAATAAAATTGGGACTCAGAAAAAGAAGTAGCTTTCCCAATCATCTACATAGGATGTCTTTGGGATATATGTTGAGGAGAAGTGGGAAAACACAGAGATAGTAGTCGGGACAGAGTTGTGGATTTAGTGAGATTAACTTTGCATTTCATAAAACTCTTGAGATGTGCAGAGACTAATGATAGGTACACACTTTATGATTAAAAGTTACAGACCTCAGCACTAAGAGTTTTAGTATTATAAAAAATTTGGTTTAAATTTTCCATTGTAAAAGCAATAAAGGCGTATTATAGAAAAATCAGGAAATTCTGAATATTTAGGCTAAGCAAAAATGAAAGAAATATACCATGATGGATCCCCAATTGCTATTGGCATCTTGATATATATATGTAATTGTTTTAACTACATATACAGATAGTGAATATTAAATATATATCTACAGACTCTTATTTGTACTCTGTGTATATTTTCTGATGGAAAATTTTCCAATTATTTTGCTAGTATAAACAATGTTTAGAAAACACTTTTGCAAATAACTTTACGCGAGTTATTAATTATTCCTTAAGAAAATTTATAGAAGTGGA